TTCCTATCTACCGTTCCTGCAGCCACTGAACAAGACCGTACTCCCTGAACAGCCGCGGACTACCCGACCCTTGAAGGAAGAGGAGGTATACGACAAAGGACGCTGATGCTCTCAATAAACCGCTCTCAAGAGCTATGAGCAGAGGGTAATCGTATTTCGTATTTTAGTAAGGAGCTCTCAAATTACTACAATATTACTTCTAATATTAAATATAAGAAATTTTCTTTGATTGATTTCATACTGGAAAGTAGTACTCTTTTGCTACCAGATGTGCGCTTGAACGAAGGTCGAATGAGACCAGGCAAGCACTGTATCGTGCAGGAGAAACACAGTGTGCGACGGGCTTAGAGGCTGGATGCATACCCCCAATTGAAAAGTTGGATCAAGTTTCGTCCTATTGAGAAGCAGTGCTGTGTCACAACATAAGTTACTCGTCATTGACGAACGATATTGGCAGCCAACTCCTTACGGAGTTTCTCTCTGCATTAAACGACTATCATATTAAAGCAGGAGTGTGTGAAGCTGTCGTTAATGTGAAATACACTAATTGTAAAATGATGGGGCACTTCCCAAAAAGCTCCGGACCCCACAGGTAACCAAGACCGCGCGCAGAGCCAGTCCACCCTCGAGTGGCTGGGCCCCCTTCAGGACGGGGAGCCCCGCCGCCTTGGCGGCCCGTAGGGGCCACGCGCGGTGAGCACGCGACGACGACCGACATCTCGCGCGTGACGCATGCATACCAAGCTTCAGTCCGTTCCTGCGCGCACGAGGCGGCACCTGCCGCCAACGTTCTGGGGGCACACCTATCCCCGCCAATAGACGTCTGAACGACGTCATTTTGCACGCGGGGTCTGACACCCCCGAGAACGTGCTCTGTGGTCACGTGGACTGCGCTACGGACAAGTCGCCAACGTCGTGGAAGGTGACATCGCGCTTTCGTGGAAGTGACGGCTGACAACTACACAGTGGAGGGGTCTGTAGACTCCAAGGGATGGAAGCGCTGCTAGAGCGCTGGGACTACAGGGTGGGCTGGATTGAGACGGACACCGACAAAGGTCACAGGATGTCGTTAGGGTAGCTAAGTGACAGCCGTGTTCCTCTAAAATAATAAAAAAATGAGAGGGCAACAAGATGCCTGAAATGTGCAGTCTCCGATGCTAATGCGACATAGTATCTACTACGAGCTATCGTCTGCTACGGGCGCATGTAGATTAATCTGAGGCTGAGGACAAACCTTGAAGAGGCTGGTAAGGCCTGTGGTGGATACAAAGAGACTTTTAATAATAATTAGATATGATCACGACGCCATGATGTACACCGGTGAAGAACATAATGACACTTTTTTTTACATGTAAAATTGAATACTGTGCCCTAGATGCTCTGGTAGCTCTTATCTTACTTTACCACTTCGATTTTTATGGCTCCACCCACGCTGTGGGATGTACCGTAAACCACGGCCTCCGTGCGACGCACGGTCTCAATACAACAGCGTAAAAACATAAATTGTGAAAAGGAAAAGTGCGGCTCTAAAAAGATAGAGACGACATCCCACCTTAGTACTAACGCTTGTAGAAAAAAACATCACATTTTTCAAATCGTCGCATAATATTTTTTTTACCACGTAAAAAGTGCAAAGTTTGCCAACATTTTGTATAGCAATGGAGCTTTTTACAGTTGTTGCACTGAGGCCGTGGTTTACGGCATAAAACCCAAAGTAGTACCTCGAAGTATGTAGCTAATAATTGGTGATATGAGGGGCACAAGTATACAATACTTTTTTAAATATCGAGAAACCATTTTTGAAAATATTAGGATGTGAACAGTATTACCCGATAGTTACTATAATAACCTTCACGTTACTATCACCCTCTGCTGTCAGGCCTTGTAATTAAGTGACCGATGAAGGGTCGTCCCGTCTGGAAGTACGCACTCTCTCAGTTGGCAACCAGCACTTGAAGACCTACGGTGGCACCTTATCTCCGCCATGGACACCAAATAATTTTTCCTGCTGTCGAATCGGACAGCTGGAAAAGAGTTGCACGCTTTGCGTCGATAAGATTAAATAACCACCCTTGCGCAAACTTTCGAGTGGTATACAGCCTGTATACCACAGGACCATCGACACATCCACCCATGTGGTTGGACGATCGACGGATAGAGCTTTGATTTTTCAAAAGCTGTAAAAAACATAATACGCACCTCTTTTGATGTTACATGTACAATACCGGCCATTTGCAACCGGGGTTGTATTTCTCCGAAATCCAGATTGTTGATTGGCTGGAGGTACGATACCGGCAACGATTTGTGTCGGTACCATGTTAATAGATGCAGTGTCGTTTTCAACCCGAGTGGCACACGTGGATGCAGCCAGTGACGACTTTTGCAAACGGGTTCATTACAAAATAAAAACAGTTAAGGTTGCAAACAGAGTCAGTATCAAGTCTCCATACATACTACGTGTATAGGTCATTTTGCAGGGGCACACTTTCACAGAGCTAGCAGTATAACAAGTCGCTCAATACCCGAGCTAGTGAAGTTCATGTCGTACAAGGTCGATATCAACTACGGCAAAGACCGCGTGCTCACAACGGATGAGCTTCTTCAGATCACCCCTGATCACTAATGCCGCTGGATGAGCCAGCAGGCCTACGGTGACGGAGAGCCCAGCGATGAAATGAGACCTGTGTATCGTCGTTTGAGTACTCTCGAGTCTTCTAAGAAAGCAATTTCATCGCTCATGCCGTGAATGAACGCAACTTGGGACCCAGTGACAGAGCGCGGTTGATAGAGATTATGGGGGATTGGGGACCTCCGAGAGCTATATTTGCTCACGATTATGGGTCAAATGTGGTGGCCTCAGGGGGTGACTTGGGTGTATTGCACTCTCCGTGCCTTGTCCACGAACCCTATCTAGTGCTGTCCGGCACCCTGTCTAAGACAAAAAACGTCACAAAACACTAGTCCGCTGTGGGAGTCCGCTGTAGCTGAAGAGGCTGGTGCCTATTTTAGCGAGCACGAAGAGGATGATAGCTTAAACGACGATGAGCGATTGGAGATGAATAAACTTCGTGATCGTGCAATTGACGAAATTTCAACTTACTTGGATGAATACTTCAGAGTCTTGCACAAAGTGATATGGAATCGATGCGGAAAATGGTTCAAACATTATGAAGCTAGCTTATTACTTAAGGGAGTCGCCAAAAGCACATAATCGACTGGCTGACATTCAAAAGACAAAGCTCCGTGCTGCTGCAAATGATGGGGTAAATATGATTGCGGACGGTCCAGCACGCTGGAATAACTGCTGGAAGATGCGGGAGCGTTGTATTCATCTTCAACCAGCGTTGGATCGTACTTTGAGCATTTTTTTCTCCTCCGAGGACGTGCCGAATTCAAATACGTGCAGAACAAATTAACTGAGCCAGCTCACAGGGAATAATGGTTAGCGATCAAATGTCAGTGGGTTATATTGGATCCGTTTAAATCGGTTTCAAGAGACCTATACGGACAAACGTATCCTTCGCTTCCGCTGGTCATACCTGCAGTTGACGCACTGGATAAAAATCCTCCTGAACCAAAACCTCTTCGAGGATTTTATAAACCCTGCCGGAAATGAAGAATGTGTGGATGAAATTCGTGTGCCAATGACTGCTGCAATCCGAGATTTGTTCATGGATCGCTATGGAAGCTTAAAAGTAATCAACTTGGCGGATCGCATACTTGGGCCCCAGAATGGCGAAGCACATGACTCACTTGACATCTACTAATGAGCAGAAAGCCGCGATGGCTGTCAAAACGCTGTTATCAATCTGACTGAGTCACGAATGCCGACACCGCTGGCTCAACCCGTAGCTGCGCCGACCAATAAACTTTAAAGAGACTTCTTCACAAATGCCGCTCTGAAAGCCAATGAGGACATAAAGGAGACAACGTCGCTAGAAGCGGCATGTGAAAAGGCGATAAAAGCGTACCTGGCTGCTGCTAAATCTTTGCAGGGCTTGGATGAAGTGAATCTGCTCAAGTGGTGGTCTGGAAATAGGGCCTCCTATCCTCATCTCAGTTTGCTAACAAGGAAATGGCTAGACGCAGTCGCAACCTGTGTACCATCTGAGAGAGCTTTCTTTACCTGCGGCAACATTGTCATGCCAAGCGCAGAGCGCTGACTCTTAAACTAGTTCGAGATCCCGTGTTTGTTGCTGATAACATCCGACAAAAAACAAACCTAATGAGAAGAGGGCAACAACTAACCTCCTGAATTAGATATGGCCAATATATGTTGCTTGTATGCACATGTGTATTTTCAGTACTAGCAGTAGCATAAATTGTTTGATGGACGTGGTCTTAATCGACAAGGAATGGCAAACCGAGTCGAAATCGGCATGTCCAGTTTCTGGCCTCTGTCACATTTCGCCGCTGAAACACGTTAATACCACGATTCGAGATAAAATGAGCAATGCCAGACATAGTACAGCTACTATGACAATTCCGCTTCATCGCCTCGTTTGTTCGTGGCCACTGCGTCTGGCCGAGGGTCACTGTTTTGGCGTACATGTACGTGTATTTGAGCGTTTCCAGGAAATCCACGAGGCTATCGTGCTTGTACGGAAAAGTCTCTACCAAGCAGCACGCCTCGTACGACTCAAGCGGCTGCTCCTAGCACATGTTACCGCTAGATGCGGTGCCATCGCGGTCGTCCCTGAAGCCGTTCATGCGACCCAAGTTAACGCATATTCCCGAGCCACGCGAAGCTGGGCTCACCGCTCCACCCAGGCCTCTCAGCAATAGTTGGTAACGTGGTTCACCAATTCATGACCCTTCTGGGGAATCTCATGGAAAATTGCTCGTGGTAACTCAAATCTTTGAGCTGGAATGAATACTGTAGTAGTATAATCCAATCAGTAGACGATAAAGAATTTTTCAGCCATTTTATGCCACTTGCTGACGTATTTTGTTGCGGCTGCGCCAACTCAAACTAGAGGAGTTTTTTTTTCTTACACGCTGACCAGTTGATGAGTTACATATGTCAATGCAAACATCCATACTAACATTTAGACGAGTGCGCTCTTCACAACCTCGACAGCGAATAGTAGCCGGACGGTAGACTCATCGTCACTGGTACTGCCTACCGAGTCCAGAGCTGGAGCTTGAGCACCGCCGCTAGTCACCCGTTTCTTTCGAGGCGGCGTCACCAGCAAGTCTTCCTTGCGTATGATTTTGCTGCTGGCGTCAATTGTCTTTCGAGAGCTCTTCTTGCTCACTGGTGACGGTGGCAGTGCCAAGATTTGCTGCCTCGCATCTTCTCGCACCCTCAACCAGTTAGCGAGTCCAAGCTCGCTGCGCACTATGCCTCCATTGCAGTATTTACTGAGCCTTGCCTGCATGTTAGGCAGCGAGAGCGGGAAAATCCCGCATGTTTGAAACCCACTGATTATGGCTTTGTTGTCCTGAATCAGTTTATTGTGGTAAGCTCGACTAGCGATAGCCACCGCCTCTTTTTTCGAGATCTTGAGATCCGGTGACGACATGATCACGCGCCTCAGCATCTTGCGGATCTCAGCCTTAAAACCCTTGAGCACAGTAACACCCAGTGGTTGTATTAGGTGTGTTGCGCTCGGGGGTAGAAAAACTAAAATGATCCCGAGCTCTTTTGCTTTAAGAATCCCACTTGAACCCATGTGCGACGAACAGCCATTGCACACTAGAACGATTGGGCGAGAAATGTCACTGCCGATCACATCAGCGAAATGACCGATCCATCTTTCAAAAATACAACCATTAAGAAGCCCTTGGACGCTGGATGGATTCCAGAATTTGAGATTTGTCAGCCGTCCAGTGCGGTACGCCGAACACTTTTGTTTGGCAAAATGAAGAGCGGTGCCGCGGCACGACCATCGGCACTAACAGTAGCAACAACCGACAGGTGAAATGCTGTCTCAGTAGCCGTCGTCCACACTTTCGCTGACCCGCGTACTGCTAGCACAGCTTCCGACTGATACTTACTGATGAAGCTGGTCTCATTCATATCCCAGACACGACTACTGTCTAGGTTGTCCTCGATGGCCAGCTTCATCAGTGTGTTGAGCATTTCAGGTACAGCCACCGAATCAACGTCATTATGAGCTCGCGA